TTTCAAATAAGGACGTTTTACCAGCTATTAAGTAACACCCCCCTGATTGACACTTCGAATCGGTGTGTTGCACAATAAGGATTTATTTTGAAGAAAAAAGATACTTGTGGTTAATTACTTAATTTATTAAATTTTAATAAATTAATTTATTAAGAAACATCTCATAACGATAATTCACAAGACAGTCACTATGTAGAGTAGAACACTATAAAATCGGTTGATTGTATGGAAACATATGTGCAATCTATTACTGCGAGAACTCTAGAAAATCTAGCAATTTCATAAAATCCTTATGGGGTGATTTCTATATTCATTGGAAGCTTCAGGAAATCACTACACTTAAAGCAGTAGATTGCTCCTCTCAATGAAGCCTCAAATTACGAAACGAAATGATCCCGTTGCGAAATACCGCAGAGTGAGAAGTCGGTTCGTTGGTGATACCTCAGAATTGCTAACAAAACACAAAGTATACATTTTATTATTTTAACATAAAATGAATTTAACAGGACCATTACTTTACCAGGACATTACAGAATTATAAGTCGGTATTCACAAATATTTTATTTTTTGTTCTATCAAAGACACAGATTTGCTAACCGTAGGCTTTCTTAATCTAAAATGGAATTTGCAGCCTTGTTCGTCAAGGATCTCAAAACATTCTGGCCTACATGTCGTCTGAACGGACGCTCATCAAAGAATTTGTCGTCTATAATCTCTATTACGTTGTCCATTACAGAAATACCAGATATTCCTTGAAAATCACAGCAAGTTCACATTCAAATTCTGTTATTTTGGAGTTATCTACCAGATAAACATTTAACAGCCTCTCCAACCTCCAGATTATTTGCCGGACACTTTAACCAGTGTATAGAATTATCAGGCACGCATAAAACAAAATTTTAACATATCAGTAAGATAACTTCTGGATAGGCTATTAGGCACCGGTGAAACAGACCCGAAATCTCATATCCTATTAAGGGTCTGTTTCACCGGTGCCTGATAAAGTGTCTGATAGCCTATTCAAAAGTTAAATGTCAACAAATTTTGAAGATAGTGAATAAAATTAAAGAATCAAAAATAAAAGTTACGTCGAAATAAGAAATGAAATTCATTAAAAAAAATCAAGTATCCGTAAAAAATATATTAGTAAGTAGAAACTATAAAAGAAAACGGGAAAAAACTTGTCAAAAATGTTAAAGTAAGCAGATATTTAAAAAAGAGAACTGTATAAAAAATTGTATAAAAAAAACATCGTGACAACGAACTTATACATTCTTGATTATCTTTAAGGAGATTATTCTAGAATATTTTCTGGGTCCATTATCTAAAATAATTTTTATTTTAGCGAGATCATTGTCTTAAATGTTTGTGAAAAGATTTGATTCTAACAAGGTATTAATAGCATGTTAGAATGGATTAATACCATATTAGAGTCAAATCTTTTTACAAACATTTATGACAATATTCTTTCCAAAAGAAAAATACCATAAAAATATATTTGTTTGAAAAAAAAAACATTTTCATGATTGTTAAAAAAAGAGTACTTGAATAATAATAATAATAATAATAATAATAATAATAATTATTATTATTAAAGTGACAATTATATTTTTTCTCACATTTTTATCTGTTTAAACTTTCCTGAACTTTGGAGGTTTTGTACAATTTGTTTTGGTTTTATTACTTAAAATATGTCACCCTCGTTTCATGGGTCTTCCCACATTCCTCCCAGTAGATTTTAATCAGTGTGTTGGACTTTATTCTGTTGAGATGTTTAAGTCAATTTACTCTGACTTTTATTTTCTTAATTTAATTGTAAAGTATACACTCTAAAATTCTGTTCAGGGAGTGAATAGTATTTTTAAATTTATTTGATAATATATAATACGCTGGTCATTGGAGAAAAGTTTCAATATTGAGTAATTTATGAGAAATAGGCAATAGAAATTAAAGAATCCATTTTCAATGATATCCTCCATTATCATGTCAAAAATTGTAATGGATTTCTTTGCCTTACTCCAGTTCTGATTTCTGAATCAGTCATTTTTAGTAAGCATCATTTCCATTATAATTTTGTTTAAAAAAAGTTTAAAAAATTGAACAATTATAATAAGATTTTTTTATCTCACTACAGAGCTTCATATTTTTATTAAAGATGTTCCTCTTCGCAAAAAGCATTCACCACCGATCTATTGAAAATCTTTTGAATAGCTGTCCATGCCAATTTCTATCCTACCACGTTGTAGAACTATTTACTTTACATTTAATAATATTTTTCCTCTCCGTAACGAGGGATACAATTGTGTTTCCTCACGTGTAAAATCAACCCTTTCTTTTGCTTCTTTCCCCTTTCCATTTTGAAACTCCTACACACACGCGCAATAAAACAAACTTTTACACCGAGCTCGCACACAGCTCACGCCGAAGTAATCGACAAAATAACAACGAATGAAGCGAAAAGCACCCGACACTTCCATTATTACTCGGGCAACTTTTCTTGAACGATGGATTGACGATTTTGGATGGAGTGGGGATATTAGTTACAATGTCGGCCACTAGAGTATTTTAAGTAATGCCAACGTCTGTGAAAGGAAAGTCAAAACTGCATCTTGTGATTAACTTTTTCGGGAGTTTTAGGTGACTCCCTTGAATGACCTGAACCTGACTCATCCATTTCTTTCGATGTTGACAATAAACCTGAACAGGGGTTCTGCACTATGAAATCAATTGGCTTTGACTAGCTTCTGTTTTGCGCCAACGAAGTTTTAATGCTTGGAAGGTTGTCATCAGTACCCGCTGCGAGCTTTTGCCTTTAACTGTTTATTGCACAAGGGAGGGGGATCACGGTCATCGTTGAAGAAAAGTTGCGCGAGTAATACCAAAACACATTCGAATTCGCGCGCACAGAGCGGTTGCACTCGAAAATGCGGCGTTGCCGCTGGTGAATGAGCAATCAGCTAGATTATTTATCAGAAAGATATCTGTCAGATATTTTAACAGGAAAGCCCTTGGGGAAAAATGCAAAATAAATATCAGGCACTTTTGCCTGACAGATAAAATATCTGTCGGATAAGTATTCAGAACTTTATCAGGCACCGGTGAAACAGACCCTATGCCTTCTATTAGAAAGATTTCATTGGTCAGGGTCTTGATCTTTCTTTGGTCTTATTAATCTAGAAGAAGAATTAATCTAGTATTTTGAAGTACATGCTGCTTTTTTCAGATAGGTGACCTTGATTGCTTAGATGTTGTTCTGCAAATCCCTTTTCCCCCCTTCAGATGTGGCCATAATTCTGTAGACTATTATCGGGAGGAATTTTGCTTCGAATAGTCGCAATGCGGTTTTGGTGGATTCGTTCTGAATTTTTTTGACTTTGTTTATTGCGATCACTGCTGCAACTGCTCCTTTAAAGTCGCAACAGAAGGTCAATCCGATTGTCTGTAGGGTTATGCCGACAGGTTTTAGCACCTCACTTTCTATTGCTATGGTTTTATTTCCGACAATTTTGTCTCCTTTTCGAAACACCATCGAACAGTTTTCTCTCTGTTTACTCTCAAGTCGTTCTCCGTTGTCCACTTACACAAGGAGTTCATGGCTTCTTGCAGGTTATCCATATTATTTTATATTAATATTACGATATGTCAAATGACGACGATCAAATGATAAGTTGTGGGTACAATTGAGAATTTGACATCACTGGCTAAATGAAGTGCCCATACTATTGTCACATGGTTCGTGACGCAAACTAGAGCTGCTCAGAATGATCAAAAAACGGGGCGCCGGAGTAGCTCACCCATATCCATACTCTTTGCCCATATCTTTTCGCCGATCTGATGACATCAGAAACCACACTTTGGAATCTCTCTGGCATATAGTATATGGATGATACTGCGGCAGTACGGGGCAGAGTATAAGGTACAGAGTTGGGTGGAATTAATTGGCGTTTATTGCGTACAATCGGGTGCGGGTGGGCGACGCTGGATTCTAGTGCAAGGGCTATTGATAGATTTTTTGTTTCTTACTAACCTTTAATGTCAGGAGCTTTTTGTATTTAATTCAACTTATAAAATGTCGGGGCAATGGGAAGTGGTAATAAAGACCAAAAAGAAACAGAATAGCGATAAAGCAAAAACTATGACGAAAATCGAACAGAAAAAATCTATTCAAAATGATCCAAAAACTGAGGAAGCCCGTACGTATGGTAGACTTTTATATTTGGATAGTGTTTCCAATGTCTCTAAACGATATATTTAAAATTCAATTTTCTGTTCACTTTTTCAGTGCCCTTATCTCAAGTTCAGACGCTGTATGATGCATTAAACAATGACATTAAGGACAGTAAGAAACCAGGAAAGGAAAATCATGCCAAAGAAAATTACGTCAAGAAAACGCAAAAGAAATCACAAACAAAAAAGAAGGATTCATCTAAAGACAAACTTGTGCTTCCAAAAACCTTAGATACTGCAATGAAGATGGTATGTGTTGAGAAGCTATATCCAAATAACTTTTTTTGGTGCTGCAGGTAAAATAAATAATGTAAACTTAAAGTATTTGTTCAATTGAAAATTTTATGTGTAGATTAATAAGAAAGAATTAAACTCTGAATTGGAGTCTGGACGACGAAGATTTCCAAACGCTCCTCTTGTATGGCTTAAAGGACTTGTTGGTTACTTTAATTCACGTTTAACTGTGGAAAATGTGAGTCCAGTGTTTGAAGGAAAGTCGCATGAATATCCTCAGAATCTTGTATCTGGAGATCTGCGTGATATTCTCAAACGATCTGTGTTAACACAAAATGACACAGTTGCTCAAAATTTATTTGATTGGTGCTTAGCTGCTATGGCTAATGATATGTGTAGAGTAGATAAAGGTAGGTTCATTTGTAAAAATAATACTTTTTTATTTTACAAATCTATTCTAGTTATGAGGGAAAATTTAAACTACATTAAATAAGCTGATATTGTTTTTGACATTTTTTTAAAATTCTGTTATCGATTTTAAATGATGAAAGGGTTGATTATATTTTTACAATTTCAATAATTTTGTATTAGAATCCGTGGTTTATGAATTAATATTCCTATGTTTTAGCATGTGAAGTTGTTTTGGGATACAAGCTAATTGCACAGCTGTTAGCTATTCATAATCCATCTCTTGTTATATCTGCAATCCCCAAAGTGAAAATTTTGTTGGCATCATACCAAAACCGTCAGTCCATAGGTTTATCTCTCTTATGGATTTTGGGTCAAGGTGGTTACAAAGACCTGAGTATTGGGCTTCAAGGTAAATATAATCTAATAGTACCACATCAACTTCTTTTGATGGTTGCATTCAGTTCTAATTATTATATACTACTATTATTTTAGCCTTTGCTTGCCAAACTTTTCTCTGCCATGCTTCCAGCACTTATTTACTAAACTCTAAGACTCTCCTCAGCAACAAAACATGATCTTTTTGCTTAATCTGAACAATCCATTTTTGAAACTTAAATCTCTGTGTCACTTTGTGGGATCATTTGTAAGTTTTTGCTGTGATTATCCACAAAATCCACATACTCAAAGAGAACCTCCTACCAATACACACAGGATTACTCTTTACTTAAACTTTACTTTTATGTTGAATTTTTGACATTTTCTGCCAATTGAACCTCATCTATGAGGATGAGATAATAAAATAAATTGGAATATAATAAAAGAGTACACTATTTTTAAAGTGGATAGAAAAATGGAGCTGATTGTTAGAAAATTTTGTTTGATTTTTCAAAAATTTACTATTTTGAATTTCCATACACTTGAGAACTTTTGAAACTACAGAAAACTTCATTGGAAATGATGTCAAACTTTTGTGTCTATAAATGCGTAAAGCCTTTTTAACATCTCTGATGCAAATTTTAAGAAAATGTGAAACATTTGAAAAAATATATAATTTCCCAAAATTAAAATTTTCATGAAAATAAAATTTATGCCATGTGATTTACTGATTTTTACTCTCTATCCGTACAAATAGTTAAAAAAAATTATGCTGTCTTTCTGGAAATCTAGTGAACATATTTTTGTAAAATGATCACTATTAAACTGAAAATTACACAAAAACTACTTATTTCGACAAACAAAAAACTATTCATGAAATGATTTCAAGATAACACAATCTATTCTTCATTATTTTAAGAGATTTTAGCTTCAGTCTTGAGTTAGCTCAGAGCCAGCGCTATCATTGTCTGTAGAACATATGGTAATGGTTCGAGACCATTACTGATGAATTTTCAACACAAGGATTGTTGCTAGATTGAATTAAGTCTGCGCTCTGGAAGAGAAATTTAGTGGCTGGCTGCTGTGATTGGTAGTTTTCTGCAGTTTCTGTTATCAGTACTAGAGCACAGAGCAGGACATGAAGAAACAGGCTGTAGTCTGCTTGTGATATTTTCTTCCTCTTTTTTGTCCTATTCTCTTCCCTTACTCTTACACACATACAATTACATACAATTACATACAATTACATACATTACTTTACCACACATGTCAGGAGACCCGCCAGTTTAGTGTGTGTCCTGTCTAGATCAGTGCCCTGCTGGGGAGATACCTGGATGAGGAAAGTCTTCCAGTTTGATAGGAACAGTGCCACTTTTTGGAACTAAAACATTTTCTTCACTAACGGGACGAATAAAGGATGTGATACTGTTACCTCATATATCACACTTGAAAACCATTGCCTTAGCTTCACTTCTTGTAGTGCTCTTTGAATTGGCTAACTATCATTATTAATGTTTGCGAACTTTGTCTGGATCATGAAACAATTTCATTAGTGTTAAGTATATATTCCTCACCTTGTATTTACTTAATGCATTTTTGTGTGTTGCCTTTTGAAATCATTTTAGATTTTTACACATGACCTCATGTGTAAGCTTTTTTCATTGGGTGTTACAAGAAACTTTTTTAAAATGTTAACTGTATTATTAATTGTTTTTATTAACTTACAGTGTGGCAGCAGGTCATGTTTCCAATGGTGGACTTGAGATTATACTCAGGTTTTGTTGTAAACTATTTACACACGCTTCTTGGAGTACAATCGAGTTCACAACCCCTTCAAGCAGAAGATCTTCTACCTGTACTGAAAGTTTTGTGTTCACCACCTGACACTGTACCAATGAACAAGCGCAAAGAGTTCCAAGAAATGTCATCAAAATTACTGGTAAATTCAATATCCTAAATGTGAAATGTAATGTACCAGGTTTTTTTCAAGTTTATGTAGTTTGGAGAAAGTTTGTAATTTATGTAGATGAATAATCTCATCGGATGCAAGACACGCACAATAGAGTTCACTGTTTGAATTTCTTCAGTATGCTGGGAATTTTTGATGAGAGGACATCAAATATCTGAAATGACAATGAAAGAGCTTGTGTATTTTCAAAACCATTTTGTTTTTTATAACAATCATAAATTTAGATTTGAGCGAATCTTGATGACATGTAGAGGTATACAGACTTATTAATATCAAATTATTGAGTTATTCAACTTAAATCTCAAATGCAGATTATCTTTTATGAGCAGAGACAGCTGTTCATAATGCCATCATAGTGTTAGTAGAATATAACTTGTAAAAAAACTGTCTTTCTTACCTAAATAAGACTGTAATTGTAACATGGGATTTTTTCAAAATTTTGAAATCTTGTTTATTTTTGTGAATGCATATGTTTTTTGCCTGTAATTTTTCATGATTTTTTTATAAAGATGGCATCTTTTATTCCTGTAATCGAAAATCTGGAATTGTTTTAGAAGAGATTCTTGTTTTGATAAAAATATTTTCCTTGAAGATTTCTCCTTTGAAAATTATTTAATGATGGTGTCCTCAAACAAATTGCTGTTTGCCAAGATTTGATAATCTGAGTTGTTGATTAGACTTGGTATGAACAGTAAGTAAAAGTAAATAAGATTTTCTTACTGCATTGAATTTAGAATGGAATTTCTTCTACATTAAAAAAAACTGAAGCTTTTTCTGTGTGAAATTTTATAAAAATTTTGTTAATATAAAATAATGGCTATTCTAGCAATCTGCTCGTTATATGCATTCACTGACGTGAATGAACCCACCACATGCTGAACACGTAGGGTACCAACAATGCAATTCATTTGCTGTTTCACCTTACTAGTGTGCACTTATGACCAAAAAGTCATTTGGGGCAGTCAGATCAGCCAGTCGAAATTGCTGCTACTGCAAGCAATGAAAAATTGGTGGCAAAATCATATCATTGAAATTGATGAATACAAAATCAGCTGTCGAAAGCATCATCCTGGTTGTGTTGTAAAGGGACAGTGGGTTTTAGGCATGATTGACCTAGAAATGAAAAGTTCACCTCAGTAACAGAAGGGATTTGGCCACATTGTTGAAATTGATTTTGCTGCTTATGGAACTCGGCTCCACAATTTTCACTGACTCCTGGAGGGCATATAGCCAGCTAAATCAAAATAATGGGGCAGTGAACCACTCTCTTCTTTTCTTATACCTGGGGTTCACACGAACAATATTGAATCCAGCTGGCGTCTCTCCTTCGTAGAAGACTGGCTGGAGGGGGTGTTTGCCACGAGGACATGGCTATGTCCTTGGCCAAGTATTTGTGGAGACGAGATTACCAGACTGCCCCGAGATCTGTTCTGTCAATAAACTTATATAAATCTAGTATCTTACAATAAGTGTTTATTTCATGCATGTCCATTCCTCTGATCCCTCTTGCCTTCTTGTTTCTGTTAGGTTGGTAGTGCTAAGTGGAGGGGGGGGTCTTAAAACAACCATCATGCACCGGACATAAATGGCAGACCATTAGAATCTCCAAAATAATGAAACTTATTTTTTCTTGAGTAAAGTATGAGCAAGGTGAAGTAAATTAGTTTAGAGATTATTTTTAGTGGGAAAACATTAACTAAGTTTTGAATTTCAACAGGCTCGTGTTTTGGACTTGCCACTGGAAACTACGTTCCTTCCTTTATTCCCCATTTTACTTAAACAACTTGATGATTCTGCACCAGAACGATTTAAGAGAGAGGTAAGAATGTAATACTGAATAATTTTCTTATCATCAAAGTAAATGTAAATCAAAAAATTTCTCCAGCCTTTTACGTTAAATGCCATTTAATACTGCCAAAAACTGGTATGTCCAATGCGGAAACAAAGGTTTTTTGTGCCCGGCAAGAGAAAAATCATTTGTGAAGCAGAGTGGCTGTGATTGTAATGCTGAGTGGCTACAGTGAGACACATTTATGGAATCGTCTCCAAGCTCCCACCCAGTTTTAAGGACTCTGTCCTTGAGAAGCTGTAATCATATAAAACTATCTTGTGGATTAAGGGGAATTGCCCTTATACAGGCTAAGTGCCTTCTTACACACCTCCTCCACATTATTTCATACTATACAAACATTTCCTATCCAGAAACACAATAACAATGTATACATCTACAAATTCAGGTATCCTGTAGAATAGTAGCAGGGTTAAATAAATAAAAGAAGGTGTTTACAATTTTTATACAAATTAAGGCCAAGAATTTCTTAATAGATTGGTATGCTCAGTGTGGGCGAGGATGTTAATATTGTTATTATTAATATTATTATAATTATTACATTGGTTTTCAAAATTTGTTGCTCGTCCGGAGTTTTCAGATCTAACTCAAGGTCAACAGATGGTGAGAAGTTCTTGTTCCAGTGCTCTCTGGTTCTTCTTTAGTGACTAAGAGGGAACCTTACACCCAATAGTGGCTGCCAGCAACACTGCCATTAGCATGGTTCTGAACTGCCATTCATTTAGATGGATTATTATATTATAATATTAGTATTAGTATTATCTTTATTTCTCAGTTAATCTGGACAAAATGTCTTTTAGTGTCTTAGGACCATATTCTGCTTTTATGAAAATGGAATTCACATTATCCCACTTGAGCTTACTGTAAAAACTTTCGAACAATGTGACGTCTGAAGTAAGACTGCCTTTTGTGCAACTGCTTGCAATTTTATCGGTAGTTCCAAATTTCTCAAATTCTTCATGTTCTTCTTCATCTTCTTCTTCATGTTCATGTTCCTCCTCCTCTTCTTTTCTTCTGTTTCTCTTCTTCTTCTCTTCTTCATGTTTCTCTTCTTCTTCTTCTTCATGTTTCTCTTCTTCTTCTTCTTCTTCTTCATGTTTCTCTTTCTTCTTTCTTCTTCTTTCTTCTTTCTTCTTCTTCTCTTCTTCTTCTTTTCTTTCTTCAATGTTTTCTCTTCTTCTTCTTCTCTGTCTTTTCTTCTTCTTCTTCTTTTCTTCTATCATGTTTTCTCTCTTCTTCATGTTTTCATTTACACTTATGTGTGGCCAAATTTTAAGTCTGCTGTTTATCTCAACCACTAGATATGTTTTTGACGCTTCCAGTTTATTCTCTCTTCTCCCAGTCGGATACGGAAAGTGAAAGCCTCCGATCGTAACTTACACAGGCTTCAGTTTTCTTCTGGCTGAAGAAATCGGATGTGGTAGCATCTTTTAATTCTTTAGAGACTTCATTCACTTTAGTTCAACCTCTATGTCACTATGACTTATTAATTAGTGTATAACCCGCGTAATCCTAATAATCTGATATTTCTTGGAAGGTTAATTCTCATTATGCCTATACAGGACACTTCCATAAAAAGGGGCAAGTCAGGACCCTTGTGGAACACACACGTCATATTCTCTTCATTTGATGTTATCCATATAATTATCTTCAATGAAGGTAGTCCTCGATGATCTTTAACATTTCAGGGATCCTCCTTTCACTAATGTTCCATGATGTCCTTTCACCTGGCAGAATTGGAAGGGCGTTTCTAATTTCAATTGCACCAGTGCGCGAATCACTTCTTCCTCCCAGTTCTATTTTTTCCTAGCTGCATCTGCGATGCGAACTATTCTTAATATCGCAGTCAGTCGTCCGAACCGCTTTCTGAATCCATATTGTCTATGAGAAAAGCTTACATATTCTCAGTCTTTGAGAGTATTAGCCCCTTTAATACTTTGCCGTACTATCAAGAAGGCATTGTGGTCTATACACTGATGTTTTTCCACGATGTCTTGCCCTCGGAGAGTATGAAGCTTTTGTTTCTTCCAAGTTCTTGTAAAATTTTCCATCCTTAAGGCCATCTTTATGGATGCAAGAAGACATTCTTGGATATACTTGTACCACCAGTTTTAATATTTCGGTGAGGATCCATCGAAGCTGGGCTTTCCGGTTTTCATATTCTTCACTGCTTCGCATTTCGCACTGTCGTAAAGTAATCACGTCGTGAACATAGTCATTTCTATTCTTTGCCTCACCCAGCGACCTCTTGTGGGAAAGAGCTCTCTAATAGCTTCTCTTCATCCATGTTGGGTCATTCAGGTAGATGTTTTGGAATCCATCGAAACTTTCTTAATCATTATCTTATACGCCATAACCAAGGTTCATATATTAATATGCTTGGGAAGTACTTCCAATTCTATTTCTTCCTTTTAATTTCTTTTTAAGGTCGCTTACGCTGCGCTTATGTTGCTCTCTAGGTATAGGCCGGTCCTGGCTCTTGTCGGCTATTCTTTCTAGCCTTGATGCAGTCTTCATGCTTTGCTATTTCGAAGGTCACCAGTACATTTAGTTGTTTATTCCTTGGGCCACTGCTTCTAGGCATACACGTGTCACACCTGCTGTCACTATTTCTTACCGTCGTCTTTCACATTGTCTATTATGTTTCCGCTATATTTGTCCAACCCATGCTTGACAGTAACTGGATCTTCTAAAAGGCAGTGTAGATGAAGTAATCCTCCCCAGAGTTTAGAATGATGAGATCTGTTTTGCTAACAAAATCGCATATATAGCTCCTCCTTGTCAAGCGTGATTCCCTGCAATTCGACATTTACATTGAAATCTCTGCTATCAAAAACCTCGCTTTCGTTGTTTTCTTGCACTTTTCCTTCAATTGTCGATGTTCTCTGAAATTCTTCTAGTGTATGTTCGGCGAAAGTAACAAATAAATTCTCATAATTATTCCACTCAAACCCATACAAACTATAGTTTTGTCTTCTTATATGTATATACTTAGCATCCTATTATGGATTTTAATACGCGCTCTTTCCAGTGATATTCAATATCAATCTATTCTCACGTAAGGTTGGCTGACTAGTAGTACCCTTCTCTCTGCAGTAACTGCAGCATTAAGTACGCTAAGCCTGCTTACTCCCCCCAGGTTAATCTGTAGGAACGAAGCTACTTGATACTTTTTTTCTTTTAACCGCTGCTATAAAGGAGGCAATTTGTTACTTCCTAACAGATGTTGACTCTTTGTTATTGTCTGTTACATAAGACATTGTTTCTCTGGTGTACAGTTCTTAACATGTCGGTTCTTAACACATCTGTAACATACTCTTTGCTACGTATCAGGACCTGTGGCAATTCGTTCAAGATCATGTCAAAGTTAGACATATGTAAATCTTGTTGGAGTGTTCCCTGATACTACAGTTAACCATCTGAATCTTATCATGTCTGCCATTAAATAGCTTTTCAGCTACATCTCTCCCTTCAACATTGTGGCCGATTGTATTCTCCGTATTTCTGCCCACCTAGGTGGTGGGGCATCTGGTTCTTGCTACGTGTATATTTTTGCTCAAACGCTTCCAATACCACTCAGCAGTGACTGTTTTCAATCAATATTCTAATTTCTATTAGGCACTTTCGTCTAGAGCACTCACTTGAGCTATGATTCTACCGCTTTCTCTCCAAAGCTTCAATTTCAATGAGGTAATATTTTCCGTTTTTCACGTATATAAGTAGCTCTTACTTTTCTATCCTCCGTATAGCAATATATTTTGTTGCCATGATACTAGGTTCACAGTCTCTTTCATCTTCTTTTATAATGTCAGCATACGTTTCCTTGTCCTAAGCTGCCATTTTGATGGCTTGAGTTTACTTTCGCTGTTGTCTAGCTTCTGGCTTCTTTTGCATATTTTTTCTCTTTTCCTGCCTTTTGTTGAAAGCTGCCAGTTTTCGCCATTTGGTCCTTCTGTCTTTTCAGATTGTTTTTATCTGCTTCACACTGATTTTGCTTTTGCTTTTCACGCTGGTGTATCTCCGGCGTTATTCTTGTTTTATTTCTTATCTCATGTATTAAGTATTCTGGTGGACTAGGTGCCGCCCTCTTTTTTAATTTGGCAGCGTCTTTCTTATCCTTCCTTAACTAGTTTCCTTTCTCTACTCAGGGAGGTTAAGGATTCCTGAAAATTCCCTCTTTTCATTAACTACTCCTTGTACCCTATTCTTCGGGTTGTCATCTTTTTCTATAGATCTAGAAGGGCTTACTTCACACTGCATTAGGATTGTTTTCAGCAATATTGCTTTTCTATGCCCTAAGGCTTTGATTCGATTTTGATTTGCGATCATCTGGGAGCTTTTCTTGGAATTCTACAGTTGTTGGCCTTGTTCTCCATTTTTCTATTATAAGGTCCTGTTTCTTTCTTCCTGCTTCAAGTTATCGCGATTTATTTCCCCCGCCGGTTCATGGTCACTTTGGGCGGCGAATACTGGCCGGCCATCTCGTCCGCATTCGTGCTTGGATTTCGCTCCCGCTGGTCGGTTAGATATCCTGAGTGGGTTGGGTTTACTTTGTGGGCGACACTTCCTTTGAAATTGGGAATTGAATTGGCTTATTTTACGTGGCGCGACTCGGGTCTCAGGCCGCTCTTCCGTCTGACAGCATTTTTTCGCTACGCCCTTTCACCAACAGGAGAGAAAGGGGTATTTCTTGGGCAGAAACAGGCGATTTTGGAATTTAGCTTTCAGAGGCGTTCATTTAGGCTTGAGGAGTATGTCAAGTAAATCTAATCGAACATGGAACGCCGGCTTTACTTCCTCCGAAGAAGGCGTACAAGGATTTTTTTGCGCGCTTAAAATTCACGGCTTCGATCGGGTTTGAACCCGGCAATTGGTACACCGACAGTAGCTAACGTTACACATGCCGCCGAAACAGCACTTTGCGTTTGGGTCGACTTCGGAAAGGGGTTAATATCTGCACGATCTAGGCTTCGCTGTCGCAGTGTAAGTATTTCAGTAGACGCCGTTGTCACGTCTCTGAACTTACAGTCGCGCTGTTGACAACGGCGCCGCGGGCCTGCTTGCCCGCCCGGCTT